TAATTTCCAGCCTTCCTCAACTTTTAAGCAGGTATAGTGATTTATTTGTATGCCAGTAATGCCTAAGAGCCTTAGTTACAGACTAGGTGCAGGACAAACCTGCAAGGAAAAGACTGCTTGTGTGGGGGAACTTGAAATTTAAGTATAAAGATAGGAGACAAGATAGAGCAGGGGTGGGCAAAATGCAGCCCGTAGGCCAGATGTGGCCCTCTAAGCCATTCTATCTGGCCTGCAGAGCCCCTAAAAATTTTAGACAATTAATATTAATCTGCCCTGGGCTGCCTGTCATGCGGCCCTAGATGGCTTGCCAAAACTAAGCAAGCGGCCCTCTGCCCAAAATAATTGCCTGCCCCGTGATAGAAGCATGTGGAAGTGCAAAGAAGCATGAAGCAGTATTGGTCAGCACAATAGCTGGTGGTAACAGCACATGAGCAGCTGACCTGTTTTAAGGAGTTCTTTTGTGGTCATCCCAGCAATGGAGATGTTTGCATGTACTTATGGGGAAATGTTTCTAGTGGGGAGGGGACCAAGGTGCTTGTTTGAAAATTGAGTGAATGGGTGAAGCGTTCACATTGCAGCTTCTGTGCTGATTTCTCACAGATATCACTTTCAATTTGAAAAAAAACCAAACACTTTTAGCCTATTTTACTGAAAATAGACTGTACCTTGTCAGCCTCCAGAGCTTACTTATCTTACTCTTTGTTCTGTGTGCTGCTGAACATCTACCGAAGTAATTTGCTGTGCATCCCTCAGTTCGTTAGTTCTCTGTCAATGAAGGAAGCTACATTTTTCAGTCATAGTCACCCAAATGCATGGAATAATCTCTTATATTATTACAAGAAGTCAAAGCTGGTACCATCTTTAAGAGGCTTGGACCTCTCTTTTTTGTTCCTCACCTCCCTATTCCTCTGCTTCCAGCCTTAGCCAAGTGGGTTTTCATCTTTCCTACATATAGATTAGAAAGGAAGTTTGTACCATAGCATCTAACAAAATGCTGATCCTTAGATAAACAGAAGTTATAATGATGTAATCTGCTATTTCTGCAGGAGCCTAATGCAGAGCTAAATTTCTAAATGATATGTGCTTGCTCAAAAGATGCTAAAAAAAAAGGCATCTGAAAACTGAGATAGATGCACACTACTTTCACAAGAATGTTAAGTTCCCTAGTACCTGCATACCAATCTCTTAGCGCATAGTAAACCTTGTTTTTTAAGAGCTGAACTTTAGTTGTTCATATGTGACCCTGGAATGTTTTGTTGGCTAGTAATCTCCTGCTACTCTTTAAATATCACCAATAAAAATAACTCTTAAGTGGCACAATTATATCTTCTTTTCTATTTTAGGTTCAATTTTATTTACAACTGAATTCTATTCTATCTGAAGAGTGTGGTAGAAGAAGCCGTCTCTGTGAGCACAGCTTTAAGATGTAGAGGAAAGAATACATGTGATGCAAGGATTTTTTTATGTCTCTCTCTCTTCTTTACCCCCCTGCTCTCCTCCCCTTTTTGCCCCTTCCCCCACCCACCTTTAATGTCACAAAATTTTCTATTGTAAGAACAGAAGTGAATCTCGACTGTTTAGATAGTGGGATGGCAAATGTGATTCAGTGTTTTAATCCATTTTCATTGTAATATTCACCTGACTTTTTTTTTTCTACAACATTAAACAAAAATGGGTAAGTCTCATTTGTTTAAGATGTCTTCCTGAAGGTGGGTGGGAGACTTAAATCTCTTGCTTTCTTGGCACAGGTTGAGGACAAGAGTAAATCTGGTTCTGCCAACCAATAAGCCCCCACAAATGTTGCAGGGAGGGATGCTGTTTCATGTTAACTATGCATTGCATCAAAGGCTAGAATTCTGGCTGGAGGTCTGAATGACTTAAAAACAATAACCCAGCAATTAATTTGTTTTGTAAAGAGCAGAAATACAGAGTGGCAATGTGGACCAATGCAGAAAGCATTACTGATGACTGGTGGAGTGACTTGACTGCTCATTACTAGGGATCTGGGTTTTCCGTTACCTGTGGAAAGATGGATAAAAATGTGGATTTCCTCCTTTACTCAAGAAAACCGTGGATTTCTCATTTTAAAGGAGAAACATGCAGATTTTCCACTTTTGCAGAGAGCTTTCTGCAGGCTGGCAGAGTTCCAGCCTGCAAGGGACTGGGGGCGGGGGGGAGCAGGAGGACGACGGTCAGGCAGGGGCCTCCATGTGCATGTATACGCACATGCCTGCCAGGCAGCCAGGACAGCAGCTCCTGCAGGTAAGTTTGGGTGGGGAGGGAGGGACTGAGGCCCCCATAGGGAGGGGGGCAGTGAGTTGGACAGGACTGGGGCTGCTCCCCAGCCAGGTGGTATGTGGGGCCTGGGGCTGGAATGTGTGGCTGCAGGTTGGCCCTGTGCCCTACTGATCTGTGCATATGGCAGGGGTGGGCTGCCAGCTGTGGGCTTTGACTGCCCACTCTGCTGCCCACTCTGCAGCCCAGTAGGTGGGGCCCGGTGTGGCAGGGCAGAGTGTGGAAGCTCCTTGCCGCTGTGAGCCCCGTGTTCTGGTGAGGCATTCCCTGCCCATTCGGCAGGGACAGCAGCATGGGGTTGTAACCCCTTGCTGCTGTGGGGCGGTCAGAGGGCACGTTGCCAGGGCAGCATGGAGCTTGCAGTGGGAAGGAGCTTCCCCATCCAGTCCTGCTTTGCCCTGCCACACTGAGTCCCACCCCCTGGGCTGCAGATGCCCGAGGGGAGGCAGCAGGGTGGGGAGTCTGAGCCTGTAGCAGGCAGCCTGCACCTACCCCTTCATGGGCTCCATTCCAACCACACTGCCTGTTGGGGGGAGGGGGAGCCAGGCTCTGCTACACTGTGGCAGCTGGGGCTCGGGCACTGCTGTGGGGGGCAGAGGGCTGTGGACCCGGGTCCCTTGCTCTGTAGCCCTGGCAGCTGGGGACTCCCTCCAGCTGGGCTGGGGGGGCAGGGGGCCTTGGGGAGGAGTGATGGGCAGGGAGTAAGAGACACTGGCAGGGCTCAGGGGCTTTGGGTGGGGAGTGAGAGGCCTGGACCTGTGTTCTGTGAGCTAAGGGGACAGGGGGAGCTCTGATTTTTTTCCATAATAAAAGATCCCAAATCAAATACCAAAATGTATAGGTATTTAGAATTTATCTTATTATAGTGATTGAAGCATTGGTAGGCTTCCAAATTGCTTTAAAAATATACATGTATCAATTAAACATTGTGTTCATCAGAGAATTTGTGATTTTTCTTTTTTTTAATTGGAAAACCAGGATCCAGGCTCATTACAGATCTCTGTAGATGTTGACCCAAAACTTTTAATACAAGTGTCTTATATTAAATAATCTCTGCAATCCAGGTACAATACAGAAATGCTCTAAAAAGCCCTGAAGATTCTTTTTGATCCAGGGGGCCATGGCTATAGAACTGAAACTGGGTTAAACCAGTACATTTAAGAAGTGTACACACTTGTTACCTGGGACCTGTTGCCTTATTGTACAGAGCTCCTTTATTTGGATTGCTTATTTGTTCTCTCATAATGGAGCATTCAAGTTTGGAGATGTTTCCTCAACACATCCCCGCCTATTGCAAGTATTAAACACGTTAGAACTAGGGTTTTGTTTTGTTTTTTGTAGGGGTGCACCAATAAAGGATTTTCTTGACTGATACTGATAGCCAATTATTAACCAGCCATATTGGCTGATACTGATTGGGGTGTCAAACTCATCTGGCTTCACAGGCTGGATCAGGGCTGTTGGGCTAGTCTGCAGGCTGAATCAGGCCATGCTTGGACCTAGTGGGCAGGACCAGTCTGGTGGGATGCTGTACGCAGTGTGCAGATCCTGTGCTGTGTGCAGCTGGTCCAGCCCCATGGGCAGCATATGCTGGCTCCACTCTGGGGCTTCCTGTGCATGTGGTGCCTGGGGCTGGCACTGGGCATGCACTGCATGGGGTGCTCTGGACTAGCTCTGCATGCTCGCTCTGGGGCTGGCATGGAATGGGCCCCAGGCCATCTGCGCACACACTGGAACAAATATTTAGGGCTAGTCTGGAACCTGCCCATTCAGCACGCATTGTCGAGGATGTTGAAAGTGTGCTCTGAAATGGGGCCTGTAGGTGCTACACATGGCATGTGGGGATGGACCAGCTGGAGACTGGCATGGTGCATGCACTGCATGCAGTGCCCTGCTGGCCAAGCTCTGGTGTGGCTCTATGATTATTTCTTAAGGGTAATCAGACATCACAATATGAAGTGCTGAAAAGTATATGGTGAATATTAAAAAAGCAAGAAATAAATGTATAGTACTGTTATAGTTTAAAATTGCCAAGTACTAGTAAGTAAGGACAGTTTTCTCAACCAAACAAAACCCAAGTGTGGGCTAATGGTTTTGTTAATATAAAACCTGGATAATTTACTGTGCACGAGTCTGACAGCAACTCAGGGTGCAGGATGCTGTTTTTTCCTGAAATGCAGTTGGCTCCCGCTGCTTCTGGAGGTCTTCTTACCGCCAGCAGAAATGTCCCAAATACCCACAGTATCCTAGACCTGAGTTCCTGTTCCCACAAGCCTCCCTAGTCCTGTCTGAAGCCACCTCATGCTTTTGACCTATAAAAATATCCAAGTCGTCCGGGGACAGCTGTTTCCTCACCCTTATCGCATAACCCCCTCCAAGGCTCAGACGAGCCGCCGGATTGCTGTGAGACTAAGGGAAGAGCTTTGTGAGAGGTGCCGAGCCGGCGCTTTCCCGGGCAGCGCCGAGTTACAGGAGGCGAGGTGGAGAGAGGCTTGGGGAGAACGGTTTTTACAACGGCAGGGTCTGGTCCTCTACCTTCCTGGACGTCTTCCCGTCGCTGCGCCGGGCCTGCTCTTGGGCCGGGCAACCCGGAGCCAGCTGAAGCGCCCGCCTCACCAGCTGCGCTCGGCCTCCCAACGTCCGCTCAGTCCGCGCCGGCTTCCGCCCCGCCCCTCGAGCTGCTGGTCCCGCCCCCCGGCCGCGGCTGCGCTCGGGAGCGGGGAGCGCGCAGGCCGCTGGGAGGTGGCGGGGCCGCGCTGGGCTGAGACGGGGTCGTGATGCCGCTGCTGTTCCTGGAACGTTTGCCCTGGCCCAGCCTGCGCACGTACGCGGGGCTCAGCGCCTTGGCGCTGCTCGGCTGTGTCCTCAGTGCCTACCGCGCCCTCAGCCAGATCACCGCCGCCCGGCCAGGGCCAGGGCCAGGGCCAGGGCCCGGGCCCGAGCTCCAGCCCCAGCCCCAGCCCAGCCCGAGCCGCGCCGGGCCGCTGCCGCTAGACGTCGCCTACTACCTGCTGTCAGACAGCCTCTGTGTCTGGGTGAGCGCAGACACCGGCCGCTGCCCAGGCGCCGGGGCCCGGCGGGTTTCTGGCTGGGTAGGAGGGGCCAGGGCTCGGCGCTTCAGCAGGGGGAGCAGGGCCGGGCTGGGCCTCTGCTGCTTGTGCGGGGGCCGGGAGCGGGGCTGCCCCGTTCCCACCAGCGCGGGCGGCTTTGCCTGAGGCCCGCACGGGCCCTGGTAGAGTTCAGCCTTGCTGCCCTTGCAGGCCCTCGTGGAGGCTGCCCAGACTGGTCAAAGGGTTGTTCCCTGCTTTCAGGGAGCCGGGGGGGAGGTGCCTCTACCTGCCTGGACTCTGTGTGTGTGAGGATTACTTTGCGCCTGTGGCTGATCTGCATTTATTGCATGGTTCACCAGTGGGTTTGTGGTATACTTAAGGCAGGGGGTCCCTACCAAGCATTGCATCAGTCGTGCAATTTGTTGGTTAAATTGCACAATCAATGTAGACTGATCTCACTTGTAAAGTAATTCTCACACCATACAAATGTCCCCCTACCTAGAAAGACCCCACCAGCTCCCAAGGGAGTGCTTGAAAATATGTAATCTTATAGCTGGTTTCTGTCTAGCTTTCGTATGAAGGTGTGGCAGGGCCTTGAAGGCAGCTTGGTACCTACTTGTGGGGGGTTCAGAGGATACTCTTTGAGGCCTTTGCTCTTCAGGAATAGGTTCTTGCATAGGTATGGGTTGAGCATCTCCTAGGACATCCCCAAAACACAACTAGGGTGGAGCTGGGGATAAGCAATTGGTTCTAAATGAATGTACAATTTGGAGTCCGTATCACAGGGTCACAGATGACCAGTCCTCTCAAACATTTCAAGTGATACTTGTAGTAAAATACAAGTTCTTCAGTGGGTGGTCCAATGTGTACACAGTTTTTACAGTCTAGGAAACCTTTTTGGTGGAGGGAAGAAACAATGTTGGCAACTTGTGGAAGGCAGGGGTGGCTCCTTTGTGGTCTCTGAGTGGGTGCTCTGGGGTTGGTGGGGTGTGAGGTACTTTAATTAGAGTGGCTCTCCGGAGCTGCTCTAATAAAAATGCTTGCAATGTCTTGTGTATTCAGTGTCCCATGCTTCAAAATGGCAGCAAGGATGCTTTAACTAAAACATGTTTGACAAGCTTTAGTTAAAGCACCCCCACTGCTGTTTTGAAATGCAGAGACCCCAAATACACGCAACATTAAGGCTGCTGGAGTGTTCCAATTGGAGCACTCCAGCAGCCTCGGTGTCATGTATATTCAGCTTCCCTGTGTTTCAAAATGGCAATGGGGTGCTTTAACTAAAGCTCAGTTGGGCAGACTCGATTTGATAATCTAGTCTGCTACAATGCATTCTAATTAGAGCACATTGGAGGAGGTGTTGGGAACGTGTGTAGATGCCCTCAGGGAAAGGAAAGTAAAAGGCAAGGGAAAGGATGAGGATCCTCTGACAGGGCAAGACTCATGTTGTATTAGTATAAATGAACCAGATTTAAAAAAACAACAACCCCAAAATGGTCATTTTCCTTGAGTCCACTAAAATAGTAATATTTGAACTGGCTTCTGTATTTAATGTTCATTTGCACTAGAGACTCAAATGTAATATACCTTTGTAATTAGCTTGCTAAATTGTCTTCCTTTTAGGTGACATAATTTTAGAATGTCATTATTTAAAATAATAGGGATTCTGTGACCACAAAATATAATGGTCATGGTGCCTGTAACACTGGGATTAGGCAGCAAGGCTACTCAGAATATTAAACACGCTACTTTGTAGGAAGTATTTGTAAGCGAGTCCTGTGTTTGAAACCACATTGTAAAAGTTGTGAAAACAAGATCTTACAAAACCTAACACCAATAGAAATGTTTACACAAATAGTGCAAGTGTTCAATTCTAACTCTTGTAGTATTTCTTTTGTAAAAATGTCATGACGGATGCAATTCCTGTGTGTTTCTAACGTGCTGGGGTTTTGTTCTATAGTTGCCTAAATTTTTTTTTAAAGTAAATCCTCTGTCATGTTTCACATCAAAATACGCAGTCTTATTACCTGCAAGTGGAAATAACAATTGGGTGAAACTTACTCTCTTTATTTTAATGATCTTGTGAAATGGAAACTCAACAAAGAACATAAGTGGTACTTCAATTAGATTATTTTTTTTCATGTTTGATAATGTAATATAAATATAATAATAGAATATAAAAACCCAGGGTGTTTATTTACAATATATGATTTTTAAGTTAGTTATGGATAATTTTTCCGAAGTATCCAAGGGGTACTTGGGTCCCATTTTGAAAATGGGGCTTCATCTGTTTAAGAGACCTTCAAAAATTTATGATGTCCCTTGAAAGTGCTTTTTGCTGGAATATAATCTATTGTCCCATTTTTCCTCATTTTTTGATGTGCATAATTCAAAAGGTTTTTCTCATCAAAAGTTTAAACAATTCAGCATTTTCTGTTTTTGATGGCTTTCATTTAAAATGACTGCCAAGAGCTGTAATCCAAGAGAGACTTAATTGATACAGCTGCAGAAAGTATATAACTTATTGATTAGATTTTGAGACCTGATATGAATGATGTCCTTGTAATAGTGAATATGTTGAAACTGGAATTTTCTAACTTTGTATTAAGCAATCTAACTGTGAAGGTAGACTGCAAGAACTAGGAAACCTTAGCGAGGGAAATGTAGAGATTAATTCTGTAGTTACTTTAAGAAATAACAAACCGGTGAATGTGTTTTGGCTTTGGGCATACACAAGCTGTCTCAGCTATTGTAAAGTGGCTTTTGGAAAGTTCAAAACTTTAATTTGGGCAGGGGAGAGGGGAAGGGCCTCAGTTTTAGAGCCCAGTGATGGAGATTCTTTGTAAAGTGTCCTGACAACTTAAGTTTGGCCCCAAATTTAAAATTGTCTAGCATACTTTTATCAAACCTGAGGGGAATGGAAATATTTTGCAATTTTAAAATGTCCCAGTGGAAACTATGTATTTTAAGCAAATGAGCTCTTTAATGTTTGGGTGGCAACTAATCCAGAATTAGGATCTTGGAAATGATGCTGAATAAACAACAGTAAAACTGACTATCGATTCCCCCCCACCCCTCACCCCTCATTTCCTTAAGATGAAAGAAAAGTAACAAGCCAATTAATTTTAAAAGAATTGCTTCTAATAATTTAAAGTTTTAATAATGAATTGATTTTTGTATTTTTTTAAAGTTTATTAACTTTATTCTACAAAATGTTCACAGTAATATATTATTACTATTGTCCCATTGGATGTTAAAAGACTCTAATTTGTTAAACAAATCAGTCTAATTAGATAATGATTTCTGATCAAAACAGCTCCCCTGTTGGCTGTTTTTACACGTCTCTTCATAGCATGTGAATGCCCTGGTCTTGATGTGGACCATGGTTAATATTGTGTGCGTCTGTCCTGGAAATTAAGAATTAGAAAGCAGCATATATACCTAATAATGAGGGGGATTACTTAATTTCTTTTCAGATACTTGTGAATACTGCGTGTTGTTTTCTGATGCTAGTTGCTAAATTAATCCAGTGTATGGTGTTTGGTCCTCTTCGAGTCAGTGAGAGGCAGGTAAGTAAGAGAGACAAATTGCCTTGCTCTTGTATTTGTGGTTATTTGAATCTTGTTTAGTTGCAAGTGTTTCGCATCATATTTTTGAAAAATTTAAAGTTTCATAATTAACAGTTAATGACCCCAACATGGAAGCTTTTTTGATATACAGATTTAATTAAACATTTACAGTGGCTTCATCAGAATATTTTGTCAGTGTGTCTTTTTCCTTTTTTTTTTTTTTTTATTGCAAATTCAGAGGGGATTTTTTTTCATGATTTTGAGTTACAGAAGACAGTTTGAAAATGCCATCTTGTAGAAGCAGTGGAAATTCAGTAGGAACCAGAAAGTCTTCTACAATTTTCTTTTGTTAAACAACTTTTCCAGTTCATACAAGAACCCACAATGCTTCCTGAACGACAGCTATAACCTTTTTTGATCCATTGATAATATTGAAGGACACTGAACTTAGCAATCATATTTCCATCATATACATTTTTATAAGTATCCTTAATCTGGGAAAAGATTCAAGGAGGTGTGGGGGGATTCTCATGTTTTTTCTCTCTAGTTTGTGCATATGAGTCTGTTTTCATTGTTATGTCATTGGTCAGTGTAAAGACATCATTCTTCTGCCTTGCATAGTGGAGAAGCTCATGAGTATCTCTTCTTCAGTCTCTGAAAGGAGAGGGTGTTTATGTTCCTGCTGTGGATGGTAAATTGAAACTGAGGAAGAACCAGTCAGGGTCATGAGAGAGGGCTGATCCAAGCACACTTACACTTGCAACTATTTTTATGTTTTCTTGGAAATCTTTTCTGAAGTTTAGCAGGGAAAAAGGGAAAGAACTCTCCTTAAAAGGATTTTAAAAAGAAAGTTTTCAAGAGATATTAGTTCAGAGGCATTTTTAATCAGACGGTGCAATTATTTTGGAGTTAGTGTTCCTTCAAAGTATGTTGTTGAGAATATAGTCATCCTGAAAAAAAATGAAACCCTCAGGTAGGGCACCAGTATTTCTTTCAGTGATCTTTTGCAGTCTATCCTTTGTGACCCATGTCCTTAAAGTCCTCTTAGTACTATGCCTGCATTATAAAATGAGGCACTGATGCCAAGTCTGTCAGTCCCTGCTGACCATATGGACATGGAATTCAAAGCTATGTCAGTGCCAGTTTCTAGCATGTTCACTGTTTTCTTAAGCACTGACAAGAAAGTGTCTAGGAGTATGGATCCTTTGACCTTTTTAATAATTGGAGTGCACTTTGTTAGCCTCCCAAAGGAAAACTGGTTATTTATTTGGTTGGCCAAAATGTTACAGAATTTATTAGCCTGTTCTAACTGGACTGTTCATATTTTCATTGTGCTTTTATAGAGATGATTAGTAAGATATTTCATAAAACTTCCCTGGTCCTTCAGGCTATGCTGCTGGTTTTTACTCTGGCAAAATTAATCACAGTATTGTTTTTTCTGGTTGTATATGTTGGGGAATGCTTGTCGTGTCTCAGTATAGCTCATCTTCATTCTTAAATGTGGGCTTTATAATCACCAAGCAAACTTTTAATGTTTCTGTAGAGGACTAGATTGGTTTTAACTTAATTGCTGACATGCAGAGAAAAGGTTTTTGGGAACATGCTGGAAAGCTAGAAAAGAACACGGTAATATTTGTGGCCCAACAACCACATTGCTTCAACTTGCAGGCTCTAACCGAGATCCGGGTCCCATTATGCTAAGCACAAAACAAATGGCTAGTAAGAAACTATTTACTCCATCTACAATTCTGCACTGTTCTCTTGCAGTGGTACAAAATGGTCACTTGGTCAACTACATCTTACCAGACAGTGGCATGCAATGGAGGCTAGATGGATGATAGGGACTTCTCATTTTTCTCATGTGGCATTCACATCTTGTAATTCTAAAACAAAAAAAAAGCGCATCTGGCTGTGTTTGTAGCTGGCTTGTGTTAATGCATTGTAATGATGTTCTTTCAGCATTCCTTTCTATTATCTGTTACACCCAGCTTTTGCTTCTTAATGTAGACTGCAAGCTCTTTGGAGCAGGAACTATTCTGTTTACTTTGCAGGGAGTCAGGTACATTGTGGCTTGTAGGCATGACCTTAATGTATTTGGCATCTAATAAAAACAACTAGTGCAGGGAATCCTGCATCAGAGTTTCCATGCTCAAGTTTGCTGCTGACTTGCTGTTTGAGCTTTAGCTAGCCTTCCCCCTTGTGAAATAGTGATGACACTGCCCTGTTTCATAGGGCAGTGTGAGCACTAAATAATAGTGAATCTTGTGGTGTTACTTGTTCAAAGAGTGATGTATAAAATATGAAGTATTGTTATTAGAACAGTAGTTGCATGAGGTATGGGCAGTGTTGTTTTTATGTTAACTACAGAAAACAAATGCATGTCTTCCTTTTTTAGCATCTCAAGGACAAATTCTGGAATTTCATCTTCTACAAATTTATATTTATTTTTGGCGTGCTCAATGTTCAGACGGTGGAAGAAGTTGTCATGTGGTGTCTTTGGTTCTCTGGGCTGGTGTTTCTCCATCTCATGGTACAGCTCTGCAAGGATCGGTTTGAATATGTAAGTTTTAATCACTGCCTTGATGTTGGGAGATGAAGATCCAGTCCCATCTGTAGCACTGGGTCACTGTGTAGCCTTGGACACATTACTTGAGCCTTGACTTGAGAGATGTTGAGCATAAACTTCTCCAGTTAAATGCTGAACACCTACAAATAAAAGCTCCTTAGTCTTCTGAACTCTCAAATGATTCATGTCAGTCATGAGATAGGACGGTAAAGGTTTGAGGGGAGGAGGGTATAGAGAGAAAGAAATGCATAGAAATATATATCTTTGCAAAAAAAAAAAAAGAAAAAGTTTTATAGTCCTGTTCAGTGTTGGCTGCATTTAATCACCTTTGTAGTTGGTTTCCATTACTAAGCACATGCTGCTTTTGGGGCATCTTGTGAGGTTTTCTTGTATGTGAATGTAAGATGAGCACCTTCCCCCCCATGTTGATTTGAGGAAAAACACCTCATCTTGTATTCAGGTAAATATGGTATATTTTCTTTCATAAAGTGCTTAATTATTCTTTTATGAACAGCTCTATGTGCTTTCCCTAAAATTCTTGCTATCAGTCTCTTTTTAAAAAGGTGCTCTCATCAAAGTGCTTTAGCCAAGATCCTTCCTTTATTTGATATTCCTGTTGGGATTTATGCATATAACTGTGGCTAGGTGAAATGTTTTTTATTTTTATATTTTTGGGTAAAATTACAAGAGAACAAGAAAAGAAAGTGGATTTCAGGGTATATTTCTGATCTGTATGCACGTTTTTCATGCCTTGTAGTAGTTCTAATTGTGCATCTCTCAGAAGCTGACAGCATACAACTCACCTTTACAATACACAATATATTATTTATTTTTCATTTAAACTGTATCCTAAGTGGTGTCTCTATTGAATGAGTTAAATAGTAAACCATAGAGAGGGGAGAATTGCAGAAGTTCAGGTAAGGACAAAACCTGCTAGTATCTGAAAGGAGAGCAGGGGCTGGCAGTTATTTTGGGCAGAGGACAGGCAGCCAGGGACAGATAAATATTAATTTTCTAAATTTTTTAGGGGCCCCGTGGGCCAGATGGAAAGGCCTGGCAAGCCACATTTTGCCCACCCTTGAGACAGAGGGAGGCAAGGAGTTTGCACAAGGGTGCAGTAATTGTAACGGGCAAGGGTTTTACACCAACCATAGTGAGATTACAGAGAGCTAAATTGGCCTGAGAGAAGTGGCAGGAGCAGCGTAGTGAAAAGCAATGCTTGTGGCTAAGTTGAATGGAATCCATTTTGATGGGGATCTTAATGAATGAAGAGTTGATTCAACTTCACTGAACGCCCCCCCCCCTCCCCCCCCAGCAAATGGGCCTTTATACAAGCTATCATAAGCTGCTCTAGGTTTTCATGGTCTGGTCTCTACATTTTGCTGAATAGAGGCATTAAAGTGTAATGTAGGTTAGAAAAGGAAAGCTTCCGTAAGATTGGATGTACACTATATAATATTCAACAAGCATTTTAATTCTATTCTAGCATTAGAAAAAACAACCTTATACTGTGAGTAATGATTTTCCCATAAGTCTCTATAATGTACTGTATTTTCGTGCATATAGCCTGCAGGCTATACACGTTTTTACAAACTTGACGGGTGGATGCCAGCTATGCAGAGTCTTTAGAACAGCATAGCCTGTCCCCGCCCGTCCCCAGCTGCGGGCTCTGGCAGCCATGCTCAGCAGAGCGTGGCTGGCAGCAGGGAGCGGGGCTCTGCAGGGGAGGGGAGGGGAGGGATGAGGAGCTGCGAGCCCTGCTCCCCGCTGCTGCCGCCATGGCCACTGGAGCTGGAGCCTGCAGCTGGGGACAGGCTTGTGGGCTCTGCAGGGGAGGGGAGGGATGAGGAGCTGTGAGCCGTGCTCCCCGCTGCTGCCATCAGCCGCACTCTGCTGCGCATGGCCGCCGGAACCCGCAGCCGGGGACAGGCTTGTGGGCTCTGCAGGGGAGGGGAGGGATGAGGAGTTGTGGGCTCCAGCTCCAGCAGCCTTGCCCAGCAGAGTGCAGCTGGTGGCGGGGAGTGGGGCTTGCAGCTCCTCATTCCTCCCCTCCCCTGCAGAGCCTGCAAGCCCAGCAGAGACCGCGCTTGCAGCCATGTCTCAGGGTGCGGGGAATACATGGAGTATTTTATGAAAACACAATTTTCCGTGGGTTATACATGGGTGCGGGCTATATGTGTGAAAATACAGTATTTGCCTCTTTCTCAGTCCCTTTGTCCTTGAATAAGTCTGATTCAGATTGAGTTATCTGATTTCTTCCTGACTGTACCACAGTCTGTTGTACTCCTCAGACTTTTTCCAGTATCACTATACAGCCTGACTGCTTTGTGGCAGTTTATATGCATTTTAATGCTTAGTGACCTAAACCAAAATCAGATTGGGCAGTGGTGGGAAAACTCAATTAAGTCAATAGGGAGGTCATTTGGCAGAATGTGTGGTGATGTAACTTTCCAGCAGACTCAAAGTAAGCATAGATTGTAAAGGAAGGAAATGCTTATTATGTATACTTAAATATTTGAGAGAGGATGCCCTTTCTTCTTGTTGCAAAATTTTAGAGCCTGTATTATAATAGTTTTCACGGACAAAATGTCTTGTATATGATTGACTTTGAAGGCTCAGCTAAGTCAATGCGAGGCTGAGCCAAACATACCTGGGAAAAGAATAACAAGTTTAACAACCACATCCATGGAATATTTGGGTTAGCTTAATTAACCAGGCACTTTTACTTGCAACTTTGACTCCCACTTGGGATAAAGGTATGAGCCTCAATGCTTTGTTTGCTAATAACATCACCGTAATTTAAAAATGGAACAAGATTCCAGTGGTTCCCAGCCTTTGTTGGCCCATATGCAATAACAATGAGCAGCATCATGCTTTGTTCTTCTTGTCAGTCTTTATCTGTGGAAGCCAACACTTCCTGAGAATGTAAGCAGCATTAGAAGGTTTTTCCATGAGTTGCGTTGGGCACCACTGATACCATGTGGAAAACACTTGAGGAAATGTTGTTAAAATTACGGGTAATCTTAAATGAGATAAAGGAAATATGTTTTAGTTTTGCAATCAAAAGGGGCAGGCACAGCCTACAGGTCCCTACACTGGGACGAGATTTTTGAGAGCAGATGGCTTTTCACTCTGGAAGAAGATGTATAATATGGTCCATTGCCTAGAAGCTGAAGCTACATCAGTTCAGACTAGAAGTGAACATTTTTAACTGTGATTACAGTTCAGCAATGGAAAAAAACTTCCTTGGGCATATGATAGATTCTGTATCACTTGCAGTCTTCACCAGTTGTCACTTCGTGTCTTCCTAAAATACATGCTGTGGCACCACTGCAAGTTACTTACTTGATGAAAGAATTGCATGATAATGTCCTGTGTCCTACAGGTGGCCAGAGTAGATGAACACTGGATTTTTAAGGCCAGCAGGACTCATTAATATAAATAATTAAAATGATGTTAGAGAGTACTTGGGTGTTTTTTTTCCCTCACTTTTTCAGACCTCGTAGCAGCTCAGTCATGTAGTTGAGATTACAACACTGGTTTTATTCAGGAAGCAAGTAGCTTCTCCTGAGCTGAGCATGTATTCAGTGAGACAAGAATGGAGGACATGGATGAAAAACAGCATTGTAATACTGTTTTCTGTTTATCTTGTTGCAGCTTTCTTTCTCCCCCACCACACCATTGAGCAGCCACATAAGAGTCCTTACTCTGCTGATTGCCATGTTACTCTCCTGTTGTGGATTAGCAGTTGTTTGCGGTGTTATTGGCTATACCCATGGAATGCACACTCTAGCCTTCATGGCAGCAGAGGTGAGGCTTCCTTTTTATGCCTGTCTGTTTGCACTTTGTTTTCCCTGCTACCTTTGTTTTTTTCATGGGAGGAATTGTGCAGTTCGGTTTTTGAAGTCTCCAACCAACCAGCCAGGAAGAATGGAAAATTATGTTTCTGCTGTCAAGTAGTTGACCAATTTGGGTATTTCTCTGGGTAAAGTTTAAGGCTGCATATAAGTTTTGCTTGAAGAGATGGTAGCTGTATGTTCATGAATGTGGTCTTTTTTAAGACAGTTGAAATCAAGAGTTCTGCATATAAAAAAATGATAAATTTGTTTCAAAAGCAATACAAGCAGAATTAGCAGAGGTAGCCATTGCAATGTGTTTATATTGAAAATTTAACATGCAGCAGCATATTTATTTTATCTTCAACATAATATTTTCTATTTATGTTTTTCTGTTGGGTGGGACTACACATTTACCTTGGCTCAAACGTTCAAATCTGGCTATGCATATCAATATTGAATAACAATTCAGTTAGAGATGGTGAAGAGGAAAGGAAATGGACAGCTGGAAGTGGGGGCGCTCGTATTAGCAGATATAATAGTAGGAGAAAAAGTTGTGTAGAATCTCTGGAGGACAGCTGGTGAGATTGTCAGATGAATGGCTACCCTTGCATAGCAACTGTTGAAGGATTTGATGCTTGTTTTATTAATGGCTTAGTGCAAATTCACTAGAATACAAAACTGGGTCACAGGGTCAGGTTTGTGTTTGTAAAGCATCCTGGGTTTAAAGAATTGTCATGTCACTCTTTCTAATATTAAAATCCCTTTCATCTTGGCTTTGTTCAAAAGCTGTTAGACTTGACCTATACTGGTGTAATTTAAGAAATAGATTCTTAAAAGTCAGATATCAGAAATGCATCCATATACCTGTCCAGATGTTTCAATAACTATTTAGGGGCCCTGTCATTTGTTTGCACGACTTAGCCTCTCTGGGTGCATCCAGATGAACATGCACGTGTCTCTTGCACTGTCTCAAACCCGTTTGAGATGGGGCAAGAGACACGTGCCGGAATTTAAAAATGTTTCCTGCACTGCAAACTTGCAGCATAGGGAGCAAATTAGACCCCTGGATATCCAGTAGTCTAAAAAAAATGGGGGGGCGGTGGTAGGGGTCTCCCCCCTCCTCCAACTCCCCCCACCCCTTACTTACCAGCACTGGAGCCTGGGTCCAGCTCCCTGTGACTGGCATGCTGCCTGCCGTATATGGGTAGGCAGCATGCTTCAGCACCAAGGCAAGGCTAGCTAACTGAGCGTCTCTGTGGAGGACCCAACCCCTGGTTGCCTCCCTTTTTTCCACCATGTTTTTTTGACCCCTGGTTTAATTTTTGACACCCTGTGCAGCAAATTTGCAGCATGGGGAATGTTTTCTTGTTCCCACATGTGCCTCTTGTAGCATCTCAAAGGGCTTAGAGACACTGCAAGATGCATGTGCGTGCTCATCTGGACCTGCTCGATGATGCAGAATCTATCAGATTACAGGTTTTTTAAAGTAGTTAAAAGGTAGGGCATAAATTCTTTGATTCGACCCTTGACATGTTTTTCTCATCACGCATTTCATGCCATGTCCTATCTTTGACATAAATCTGTGCTCCACAATTTGCCTGATTAGGAGATCTGATTTATTGTTCCATCTCACCATTTGCAAGGTTATAATTTGTTCACCATATTCACTTTTGCTCTGTGGTTTACTTTAACAAGTTTCTCTGTAACTGAAAGCCCTTGTGAGAACAAAGTACAGTAACTTTTCTGTTTCTGTAACCTGTGTGTGGTTGCTTCAGCAACAAGCAGAAGAAGCTTTCATTGTAACGTGTCTGATGGGAGCAGGTTATGTAGCTGACTTCTTTTTAGTGAAAGATGACTCCTGATTATAGCATACAGTACTAGGTGATTTGCAAGTCTGCGTTTTACCCTGACTTTTACGTGCTAGTTGGATGATTTGGATAGCATAAAATATCATGAAGATTTAATTTGGGTAAATGGCTGCATTATTAAAAAAAATCTCTGAAATATGTATTCCACAGCAAATGAAGTGTGTGTTGGCAGATATTATGAATTATTAATGAATTAAGCACAAACTGGGGAATGTTTTTAATAGCACTTCTTAAAAAGGGGAGAAAAAAAAAGAAACTGAATCTGCAAGTTTATTGCTTCAGGCGGGTTGGAGTTTTCAAATTTCTGTTTTGTGTGCTCCCATGCTCAAGTTAAGCCTTTTTAAGCAATGTTTTGTTAAACTGATTCTCAATTGCCTCACTATAAACCTAATACATCCTTGTGGTATTCTGGACTTACCTCTTCTGTTAGTTAAGGAGCAGATTTATAGCTGCTGGTAGGTGTCAGCAAACTCCTTTGAGCTTCAGACTTAGTCCTTCTCCATACTGAGACCAGAACTATGTTTAGATCTGATTGCAGATAGTCAGCAAAGTTCTGAGCCCAAAATGGACAGGGCTTCAAGGCTTAAAGGGGCAGCATGACCCACAAGGGTAGGGCAAAGAGCCTGGAGGCAGTTGACTTGGATTTTATTTCTGATTCTGTGACCTTTTAGTTCACTTCCACCCTCTGCCTCAGTATCTTTAAAATGGGGGATGCAGTATTAATGATGGACCTCTTTTCCTTTTTCTTTCTTATAGTCTCTGCTTGTGACAGTGAGAACAGGTCATGTGATTTTACGGTAAGCAGTAAAGTTTTAGGTGATGCCCATTCTCAAACATTGAGGCAAATAGGGCTTCCCAGTTTTAAAAGTGGGGTTTAGTTTTCTTGCATTATTGCAAGTATCCCTTTTGGAGTGGGACAAAGATGATGCTGATCTTTAAAAATAATATTGTTTAGACAACTTTGGGATATATTCATAATGGTATGCTGGAACATGGACCAAAATATTGTAAAATTGTATGAGACAGGACTTGAATTGGGCTGTCAGTGATGTAGTACTTTTCTTAGAAGGTCTTATTCTCCAGAGCCATAGTTTCTTTTTTTTTCTTTATAAATGAAAAGAGAATATGTAGGTATGAAAGTGTTGCAGCAGCCTCTGCCAATAACTGGTAGAACAATGTTTTTTAGCCTATGCAACTTAGATGGATACTCTGTCACCTGGAGGCATCTCAGTGCCAACATGTTCCAGGGCTCAGGGCTAAAACCTGCTTGCTTAATTTATCATAAATAATGGTCTTTAAATTAGTGGGGTTACTGAAATTAGTAAAAAGTTCAGATTTGGACCCAGGCGTTGAGGAGGGGTAGGAAACAGCAGCCGAGAGGGAAAAAAATGGTGTTATTGATTAAAAAATATTAAAAAAAAAAAAAAAATGTTGGAGACCAGTCTCTACACTTCAAAAAAAAACAAAAAACCAAAAACCAAAAACCATCAATAACATCTCTTCCAGTTACGTAATTCATCTCTGGGATCTCAACCATGAAGGAACATGGGAAGGCAAAGGAACTTACGTGTATTATACAGATTTTGTCATGGAATTAACCTTACTTTCACTGGACTTAATGCATCATATTCACATGCTGGTACGTAACATTGAAATTAACACTGAGGAAGACTTCATTATCGTAATATCAACCGTTCAAACCACGTACTCTTTAAATATTTAATAGGTTGAACATTGCACTGAGGCTGTCTAGATATGGAAATAAATGGAACTATAACGTGACTTCCTAGGTATTGTCTGCCTGCATAATTGGACTCCTTGGAACCAATTTTGGTTTGGGGTTTTTAACTGCCTGTATAATTATCTGCTTAATAGAGGTTTAACTATAAAATTAATATGCCCTTGAGAAATGTCAGACCAAATTGTCAGCAAAACCAAATTATTTCTATTCCTGGAGGGAGACAGCAAATTGGTCTGAAGTTTGTGTTTTTTGCTGTTGTGAGTGCTTTGCAGTTTTCAGCGTGAATTTAACAGTGAATCTTTTGATCATGTTTAGTTAATCTTTAGATGTTGACTCGTCTGGGTGAAAGTAAAATAAATTCTTTAATACTGGCTTCTTTTTGTATTGTGTGAACTTGGATCATTCCTTCTTCTCTCAAGAAGCTGATTCAATTCCCACTGGCAGAAATAAATGTTCCTGCAACTGAACTGTCACTCCTGCCTTTTCCCTCCAACCCACAGTTGTAAAAAATGAATAGCTGTTTCTTTGAAAACATAACTGACAGGAAAAAATTCCTGTTTCAGTGTAACATCTGTTAATGTGGCCTTGTGTGTGTACCTGGGGGGAGTGGGGAATATACTTTTTGGAACAACTGCCTGAAATTTGCAGAGCCGTTCAGACTCTGTAATGCTCCACTTTTTTAGGCTTAGTGACTTGTACGTGAAGTGCATTTTATGTTGTTTGTATGTCCTTCTCTTTGTTTCCCTGGCATTCACTTCTGCACTACTGCTCCTTTCTTTTTTTTCCTTCTAATTTTTTGAGATAGAATT